TCAAGCCACTAAAACTCTCTCTCCTCACGATACGACAAATCATTATATCATCGTCAGAAACGTTGTTGATAGTAATATTTTATCAAAGATGAATAATAATCCTTTTGGAGTAATTCATGGAAAAAATATGAAACAAATAACATTGAAAAATATTGATATCGAAGCTAATAGTAAATAAAAATTATTTGAGAGTACTTTGAATTTGTTGATTATATTGATTATATTAATCTTTTCTTTTTCTTTTTCTTTATTTTTATTTTTATTTTTTTTTGAAAGTCGTTGATATGCTTGCGGAAGGTATATAATAAACAATTTTTATAATATTTTTTTTAAAAAAATAAATTTGACTATATTTAATTTCATTTAGTGAAAATTACCCAAACTTTTAAGAATGAAACCCCAGAAACTCTTCAAACGGAATATACTTTTCCATTAATCTCATCCGTGGCGATTTATAAATTCGAAGTTGAAGTTGACGGAGGAAAAACCATCAATGGTATAATTAAAGAATCTTACGAAGCCAATCAAGAATTTAATGAGGCAGTTAAAGTAGCTATATATATGAAAATTTTCTTAAGATATATTTTTTTTTCCCTTCGAATAATTCTTTTTAATTAATACATATGTATATATTATATATATTTATTTTCTAGCAAAATAATAACAATTCGGATAAACGAGCCTCAAATAATAAATCCGATTTGTTTCAATGTAGTATTGGAAATTTAAAACCGTTTCAAACAACTGTTATTAAAATCACTTATTTAACAGAACTTAAGAATGACGATGATATTGAACAAGTTCGATTTGTTCTTCCTGCAACTTTCAGGACGCCTCGACACAAGTTATCAAAAGGTTCATTCTTTCATAAGAATAATAATAATAGCGAATGCCCTATTTCTATAATTATTACTTGCAAAACGACGTCAGTAATAAATAAGATTGAATCCCCCTCTCATTTTATTTCAACTGAATGGAATATTGATGGAAATTCTAAAATTGCACGTATTTCTCTAACCAAGGATGTTCAATTGTTGGATAGAGATTTTATTTTAATAATCAAAAGCAAAGATTTAGATCAACCAAGGTAAATGAATTATTATATTAAAATTATATTTATTACTTTTTATTTAAAAAAAAACAAAAAAAAATTGTTTTTCTTTAAATATATAGAGCATTTTTGGAATATAATGAGAAAACTTCTTCAAATTGCATAATGCTTACTTTCGTTCCAACTTTTTCAATGACAACCGTTCGATCAGAATTAGTATTCATAGTAAACACATCTTCATCAATGCGAAGAGATGCATTGAAATTTCGTAAAACGATACAATCTCTAGAATTCTTATTATATTCTCTTCCGCAAGATTGCTATTTCAATATAATTTCAGTTGAAGACAATCATTATAACACGCTTTCTGACAAAAGTCATCAAAAAAGCAAAACAATATTTTCGAAAGCACTTGAGTTTATTAAGAATTTCGAGTTGGAATATAATTACGAAGAATGTGAAGCATGTGAAACCGTTGATATTTATGAGCCGTTGAAATGGGCCATTGAAAATTCTTTGTCAGACATGCCGTCCACATTATTTCTTTTAACAGATAATAACGTTGAAAATAGAGATGGTTGCATTAAATTAATTAAAGATAAAGTAAACCAAAGAAAAGAATATTTCCGTGTTTTTGGAGTAAATATTGGAGATTTTGTAGGTTGTGAGAATCTCATAGAAACTTTAACGAACGTCGGAAGGGGTTACACACAATTTCTTGCAACAAATGAAAGAATTGAAAAGAAATTACGAGGTATGTTACGAAATGCTGTTACACATCCAATTACAGATTGTAGACTTATTTGGACGGCAGCGAACGGAGAACAAGATGTTATTGAAGAAATTCCAGCACTTTTTAGTGGAAATAGATTCACCTTTTATTGCATTGAGGAAAATGAAGCTTCCGTTAACGATACACTTTTACTTACCGCCAATTCCCTAGAAGGAATTATTGAATTGAAATTTGTTATCGAAAATATAGTCTTGGAAGGGAATAAAATTCATGCTTTGGCAGCTAAAAAACTAATTCAATCTTTTCAAGATGGGAATTCTTATATTCATAATCAAAACAATGGTTATATGAGCGAGGAACAAATTGAAGAAGAAATTGGTTCACTAAGTAATTTATATAATATTGCTACATCCCGCACGAGGTAAACCATTTTATTTCTAATGTAATTTTTCTTTTTTTTTAAAAAAAAATATTAAATTTAATTTTTTTTTTTTTTAGTTTTCTTGTAAAGGATGAAGTTAATGGTACCTTAATCAAGGGAGAATTCCTTTGATTAGATCACAACAAGGATAGGATAATTATGATGGAAAATTTTCACCTTATGAATTCAATCATTTCTTTGGTATAATGAATCTGAAATATTAAAAATTTCAAAATATTAAACCATTTACAATTAATTGCTCTTGCCATTGCTTATTTATATATTGATTATAATAATTTTTGAAAAAAACTTAAGAAAATGTATAAATTATTTTCGAATTAATTGCACCTTTTAAAAAGTGTTCGTCTTTAATGCGTTATTTAATGGAACACATGCTATCTGTCTATATGTACGTCCAGAATCCTGCATAACAACGAAATGGCTCACAGATTCAATTTTATTTGATAACTCGAATGATGTTTCTTTAATCTTTCTAATAACCTTTATTCCTGGGGAAGATTTTCGTTCGGATTTAAAAGTGATGATATCGGAAACATCTTGTACTACATCTTTCCAATTATCACATGATTCACTTGAGACCAACAGGTATCTTGTATTCTTGATGTTAAGCTTGTCGGATGCGAAATATAAATAACCCGATATTTCAAATTGATTCATTTTCTCGTTTGGTTCGGAGGAAGAGATCCTTATTGACCCTACAATTATGTTATTCGATATATTAATGGTGTATAAAGGAATTTGTCTAAAAATTCTTTGTGATTTTTGATTTGAAACTATTGGTCCGTCCTTATAATTTATTTCATTGTTAAGGTCTTCTGAAGGAATATAATACAATAAAGCGAGAACTGATGCGAAATAAATAAACAAGAAAAGTAAAATGCTTTTATGAATTAAGGATAGAGACTTTTTCGTTAAATTTTGATTGTTTATCGGAAGAGATTGAAGTTTTTGTGCAAGTATGTACATTTTTGAAGTGATTTTTGGTTATGATTTTTTTTTTTTCTTTATTTATCTATGAAATGCTTGAAATGCTTTAATACAATTATACTAAACCACGACCAGCAGGGTTTAAATTTTTACAAGAATTCGAGGAGATACACACTCTCCATATTTATATACTATTTTCACATAGTAATTTGTGAGTATTAATCTTATATGCATAGAAACTTGAATAAAAAAATTTCATTGTTAGTAAATAGATTCGTTGTTTTCTTTGCAAACTAATAGAGTCATTTTGTTTGTCAATTCGAGTGAAGTTCGGTCTATAATAGGAATTTCCGAAACATGCAAGCATTACATGAAACAAATGTTGACCAATTATAATTAATCCACGTTCATTTATTGCGAGAAGAATCATCGGGACGAGTACGGTCAAAGAAAACAAAGAAATCCTATGAAAAATTGTAAAACAATTAATAGGACTACTGAGAGATAAGGTAATAAGCGAGCCAGAATAGCAAAATTTATTAAAAAATGAAGGGATTAAAAGTCGCTATATGAACTGTTTTATTTGTACGTTTTGTTGGATGTGATTTTTTTTGTTTTAAAGTTTTATATAAAATAACGTCATATAATAAACAACGTAAAGATGACTTATTATATCAAACATATTTCCGCAAATTAATTTTTTGTGTAGTGAGATTGTAATCGAGAATTGCCACGACATTTTTTTTCGGATTTACCAAATTCATTGATTTTCAATCGGCTCGGTTTACAACAAGCAGGCCTTTATTGAATTATTAATAGCCAACTGGAGTTTTCCTTGTTTATGGCTTTGTGATTTTGAGCGTATCCGATTTCTTTTATGCGATTTTTGCGATACTTACGTTAAGTTTCATCAGTGATTCCCTGCTTAAATCATCAAAGCTAATCTAACTTACCCTTTACATCCATCGCCAAAATCATCAATCGAACGATCGAATATATCCTATAGAAATAATAACAAAGTATGTTAATATAATGCTTATATTGATTCTAGAGGATATTACTAATCAATATTTTCCGTTATTTAGATGCTTAAAAATCCAAGACGAGATATTACCTTTCTTTTTGAAAAGATCTCCAATCGTCACAGGCGCAGCACATTTGGTTTAGAAAGGCTGTTTAATTTTCGTTTATTGCTCTGCAAGTTTTTTTCTCTTCGAAATCCTGGATAAAGCTCTATTCAATAATTTTTCTTAAGAGGTTTGGCTGTGGGTGGTAGTATTTAGATGGCTGTAGGACTGGTAGCGGGATATGCGGGTAGAAAAATAGCATTAGCATTTAGCATAGAAAAAAATATATATTAGAATAGGGATTTATTTCATCAGAGAATTTCTTGGCAAGCTTTGGATCCGGTACATCGGTTTCTTCGATAACTTCCTTCCATGCAAGCCCGCGAATATATTTAATTCTAGTAATAGGTGAATTTTCCATATTATTGAATATAACAAAGTTTTCAACCGATGTAAACTTTGATTTTTTTAATCATGTTGTATATTAGAATAATAAAAAAAAAATATGTGCATGTACATATTACAATCATAGATGAATAAAATTATAGTCAAAAAAAAAAATAATAATAATGAATTGCAAAAGCATTAAAATATTGAATATTGCGAAAATGAATGTCACCAATCCAATTGGTTGTTCTAAAGTTATAGGTTGGCGTATCTTAGATGGCAGTCCAAGATATTTTGATATAATATCACGACATTTGATTTTCACGTTTATATTTACTGCAATGTGGGCATTATTTAGCAGACTGATCAACTGAATCTAATGAAAATTTCATGCTATTCTTTTTCATCCATCGAATTTTCCTGATTTTTGCTAGAAATAAAAATTCTCAAATTAGAATGCATTTGTTGTCAACTTATTGTGTAAAGATACGCACCTAATCCTTTCCACTAGCTTCTTAATAGCTGGTCCAAAAACATATTCCATGTTACGATCGTCCACAATAATCACGAGGTCACCATATTCATTGAACCGAAACAGCTCTGATCTTTTGATAGCTCTATGTGGAAGCTCCACTGAAACATAAATATTTTTTCGATTATCTGTGGAAGTTTTGATTTGTTCGTGATACTTTAGACCCTAGATATCCGGTAGTTCTTGGTGTTTTCGGCGTAGTTCAAATCATAATCCAAATCATCATAATTTAAATCTTGGTCATACTCCTCTCTTTCTAAGTTGTCCTCTTCATTAGATGTGAAGTCATTCGGTAAAATACTACTACTACTAAGACCAATTTGGAGGCGTTTTGGTTCCTTATAAGAAAATTCCACATCATTTTTCCTCTTTCTTGGACATTCCATAATTTGAAACCTCATACATGACTTGATCAACTGTTCTTTGACTTTACTTCTCTTAACAGGGCTACTAGAAACTGTACAGCTTGCCGATAATAGCACCACATTTTGCTCATTATCCATGAGAGATCACCACGTCTGATCCTGAGTATATGTCTGGTTGAATTGCATAAGAACAATAGGTCATATCATTAACATATTTGGCTATAGGAACGCTTCCTGATAGATTTGAAGTTGTAATAAACTTCATCTTGGGAGTGATCCATGAAGGAAGGTCAAATTGTTGTCCATTTTTCCATTTATTAAGTTCGTTTCGTACATTAATCCCACGTTTCTGAATGATTGCCGTAATAAAGACCGCATCAAATTCATTGCCGATTGATGAAATATTATTGAGCATGATAATGTTATCAACAAAGACATCTACCATTTTTTTCCCTCGTGTGTTTTCAAGAAATAATCCAATGCTGTCGATAAGGTAAGATTCAAGCGATGGGTTTATTTCGATTTCATTAGAATGTTTATCATTAGGGCCAAGAACAATGCATTCTGGTGACTGACAAGGAATGATGCTGTGCTGGAGAAGAGCTTCCTTGAACTTATGATTATAAAAAACACGAAGTCTAAGAACATCCATAATCGCTGTCTCTGGATTGAGATTATTCGCACCAAAATATTCACACGCGTTCTCCAAATATTTTGCCATGTCAGAGCAAATTTTGTTATACCACGACCAAATAAATTCTTGTAACACTAAATCTTTCGCTCTACCATTCGATCTCTGCTTTGATATTAACAGCTGAACAAATGATGCACAGTTTCGAGGTCGCCCCCTGAGAATATATCCCAAGAGGTTGCGAGTTTCGGGCGTAACATGCGTCAGGTCAATTACGGCATCAAGGTTCCGCAAGACATCATCATGTGAGAGAAAGGGAAGTTTTAGTACAATATGAGTATGCAAATTTGGAACTTTTCCAACAGAAGTGATAAGAGAAATTCCGCTCGCCATATGCATGTATGTGCCGGCAAGAAGGCAGGTAATGGGATGTTTGAGAAGATGTGCTACATAACCTTGCAAAAGATTCCATTCTTTACCAGGAACTGAACTCCCTTGATATTTTCCATATTCGAATCCACATAGGATTTGCGCCTCATCAAATATTAAGGTTAGATTAGATACTTTGAGACAAGCATTAATCTTTTTGATAAGTGTAGTAATAGTAAGAGTATCATATTTTTTAAGGCCTAAGATACTTCGGACTTCAGAATCATTCGGTTGGATCTGTACAAACAGCCATTCCTTTGGTGTTAAAACTTTTCCCTCAATAATCATCTTAACAAGTAAAAGTCCGCGTGAGACTACCGCTATGTCCAGCATGTGAAATGCTTCATTTTGTTGATCAATACGATCAAACTTAGGTTTTATACCTCTGATTCTTTGAAGCTCTGATGTCAAATGGGCGTCATATTGCCCTATAATAGGAGAACAATCAATATAGATTGACCAACGTTGCACGGCAATTCCGAATGCTGTCGATGTTTTTCCACCTCCTGAAACCCCAGCGAGCACAATTATGTCTTTCGGCTCTTCTTCAATCTTCTTTTGCACAAGAGAAACCGTTTCTTTGAATGGTGGATCATCATAAAAGGGATTGTTATAATTCGTTCCGGATTTACCGTAAGAAGGTAGACACAGATCAACTTTTGTGAGAGTTTGTTTAGTTATACCACGGGGCAAATTTATTTTGAAAAAAGCAGGTTTCTGCTTCAGTTCAATATACGGGTCATTTTGTGGGCCTGGAGAGTCACTTTCCATTGCCTCAACGTGCCAAATCAAGGCGAGTGCGTTAACAAGCTGGTCAATTGAAAAGGCATTTATGTGTGGAAAGGTCTTCATAACTAAAAAAACAAGAGTGAGCGTGAGCGAAAAGTTAAAGAGCTAAACTTCTAATGTAACGAACCTTTATTTTTAATTTCAATTTTAATTTCGTCAGAAAGGATGTACATCGGCGAAACTAATGCAGTAAAAAGTAAAACACTTGAAATCCGCCTGTAATTGTCGATCGTAGACTTAAGCCTACAAAAAGCCATTTTTGTTCGAAAGGTAAATCATTAGGAGACACTCACCAGTAGTGGCCGGAGGTTGTATGATGATATGGATTTTCCTCGCTGGAGCTTGATCACTAAAATAGTCGCTAAACAGAAAATTAGGTTTCATTTTATTTCCTCCAAGTTTTTGTACAATATCGTCTTCGTTAAAAACATCAACAACTTCTTCGACATTAACATGCCAAAATTCCAGTTTGGAAGCGTGGTTAGTAAGGTCTTTAAGAATATCCTTTTCCCGTTCCCAGATATACTTCTTGAGGATATTGATAGATAACGATTTTATGGGGTACTCATATTTTTCAACAGAAACTTTTTCGCCAAAAGGGATCGTGTGAATAGTTCCAGTGCCTAGGACAAAACAATTTAATTCCATTTTGACTATATTCCTGCAATTGCGAAAATCGAGTTTAAAAAAACAAATTTCAACAAATTAATTTTTCAGTAAAAAAAAATGTAGACCTTTTTTGATTCGAATTTAGCTTGGTAGGTAATGAATTTTCATTAAAATTATCTTGTACTGGAGATAAAGTACGGTTTGACCAAGACATTTGCAATTCATCGTGTGAAAATGCGCAGTCAGGGACCCGTAAAATTTTCGGTCAATAGAAAAGGGGGAAATCTACAAATTTTGAGTAATTTTAGTTATTAAGTTAGTTTTGTTCACATGACCATAATCAGCAGAGTGAACCAATAAAAAAATTTTTGAATTTCCTCCAGAGGTTTACTTTACTCGAAAAAAACGTTATGCTATTCATTGTCAAGGTATTGTAAATGATAGAGGAATTTTTACTAATTTTGATGTAGGTTGG